TTTTCCCTTTCACTGGCAAAATCACAAAACGTGTCAAAAGCAGTTGTTTCAAGCTTTAGTTGTAGATTACAGCCTCCTCCCCAGAGAGTCCTGACAATGTTCATGTCAAAAGTTGGCTCTTCGGGGCATAGCTACCCAAATAACATGGCACCACAACTCTGCAGAGAGGTTTGTTGAACGAGAAAGAGGCCAAAGTGGATTTCATCAGTCCATGATGAGGTTACAATGTACATCTAAAGAAGACATGGTAATACGTTCCAGTCAGCGTAGCATGCCCTGGGGAAATGGGTTTTTCTGGCATGCCCTCTGTATCTGTCAGGTTCAACTAACCCCTCTCTCTCTCTCTCGCTCTCTCTCTTTCCTTCTTTCTTTCTCAGTCATCCACAACTGTTGTACCAGCGACTACTGTATCTCTCTAAGTGTGTGTTCAGGCTGAGCACAAAGCAAATTTGAGAAGCGGAGCGACTTTGTACAAAGTCAGTGGGAAGATACGAGAGGATTCAAACAGTTGTGAGTTCAGTCTGGGCTGTGGGAGCCGAGGTGAAGATGTATCCGTGCCTTCTGAAAATGTTTCAACTTGAAAAAAAAAAAAATTATGCTAATCCCAAGGTTGTGGGAGTCAACCTCATCATACAGAGACAAAATGAAAAAGAGAGCGGACACATTAACATGCACAAAGACACTCTCCACACAGCAGTCAGTGTTAGCAACAAGTCACAAGCAGCTGCCGTCGGGTGAATATACACATTCTGCAAAAAACAATCCAGCTATCATCTTCACTGCATGTATTCTGAATGCATGTTAAGGTCTGTGTCTTACTGATGAGTAACGGTGAACACTAAAGATGTGATGAGATTAATTTTCTTCCGATCTCTACTCAAGAGTGTAGTCTTTCAGTTTGACTTACAATTTTGTAATGCTTCACCCAAAAACCTGCACTCACACTTGAATAGCTCCTACATGTGCTCAAACTCTGCACTTACACTCAGAGATTGTGTCTCTTAGACACATTTCCTGAGCTTCAGGTTGATCTTTTTGCGCAACAAGTCTTAAATTCTCGCAACCAGTTGAATGCCAGGTGTTGTGTTGACAAATGCTTGTTCGCCCTTGATCTGCTGCACTCCATCAAGGTGCCGTTGTTGTTTTTCCTCAAGCACACAGCCGGGAAGCCGTTGTAATAATCGAGCCACAGAGAGCCCGGACCCAGTAGAAGGAACCGCCCGTACGCGGCTCTCTAAGAGGTAGAGCTAACACACCCCCAACAAGGGCGGGACAATCGAAACACAAGCAGGGGCTATTCAAGTGAAATTGCAGGGTTTTGAGTGAAAGCGTTCAATCTGAACGTGAACCAATCACGTCATTCAATTGTTCTTGAAGAAAGATTTTTTTTTTTACTTATACAAGCTGCATCTGATCCAAGAAGTTTGGAATACTTACACTTATACTATACTAATACAGTACATGGCCTTGAATGCTAATTCTTTCTTAACCGTGTTATGTTCACCTCAGCCTCCTTAACTTGATTACAACTATAGCTCCTCAGTGTGACCATTTTACTTGCATATGGGGATGGGCTAACAAATCTTGTTCCAGTCACTTCTGTCATCCATCAATAAAAACATAAGTGGAGCAGCTTTTAATTTTGAGCCGTCGCTGAACATCACTGTTGCAGGTTTAAATTGCATTAAATTGACCTTGGAGGGTAAATTTACATTAACTCTGGAAAAGCAACTTGATAACAGACTAAAATTAAAACTAGATTTGGGTCAGGTTTGTGTGCAGGTGTCTGAACCCTGCCGAAGATCATTTCCACTCTGTAAACACCAATGTAAGTGTTTCTGTAGTTCCACCAAAGTGTCACCTAATGATCATCTCAATAGTTCATCATGCAGCTCATGATAAATAAGTCCATTCTAAGGCACCTGCAAGTGAAAAAGGGAAACTCTTTACACCATGCCCCCACATCAGCAGACTGATCTTGTGTGATTCTTTCTGTGCCCTTGCCTCCGCTGCGGACCCTGTGGCCTGGTCAAATACGTGCTCTTCCACCGGCCTGACAACCCTCTGATCTCCCAGTCAGCAGCCTGACACAGCCGTCGGTTTGCCCTGTGTGAACCCGAACAACCCCCATGCACTCACATTAGCATCAGCAGCCACTAACCTGCTGCCTGTCTGCCTGGCACTCCTCCGTGGCCACATCCACAATAATGCATTTTCATGACACGCCTGAAAAAGCATATAGCTTGACCGTTCACCTACACTTGACATGCACGTGCTGTAGCATTTTAAAACTCGCATTGCATTCAGAGTTGGTACTTGAGGCTGATGCCATGTGTTTTGAAAAGGCTCACATGTGAATCAAGGAATGATACTTGTCATTGACTGAATAGAGTTGTCACAGCATTTTTGCAACATCTACATACGACAGTTACCAACTGCTGAACACGACATGCACTGAATTTTGAGTGTAAACAAGTAGTAGGACATGATGTTGAGGTAATCCATAATCAGACCAAATGCTGATGATCTTTCACATGTAAACGTCATAATCAAAATAGTTAAGTATACAATGTATATTCATAAGGTCAATATTCAAAATATTGCCGTCCATGTTAACGTAGTCTGTGTAAAGTTTTATAATAGTTGTGTTTCCGTCAAGCAACTTTGATCAGGTATTTCTGGAGGTTTATATTTTTGGCATAGAAGATAAGATTCAGATACATTTGTAAAGAGTCCTACAGGAACATATGCTCTGTAACATGTTGAAAGGAATATGAATGGACTTTCTATGAGGAACTCATGTAAACGACATAATAGAAATATGATCTTATCCTGAATAAGGTCAGAAGTTGGAATATTGCTGTCCATGTAGACACTGTCAAATTATCCTTAAGTTTCCATTCTTGCCTGTCCACACGAAGACACAACCCGTGGGTTTTTTAAATCGAAACAGGGCCAGCAGCACTTCCCAAACTCTCTGCAGCGATAGTCTCCTTTCTCCTGGTTCAGATCAGCTACATGCTGGTTCTGGGAGGAACAGGAGCAGAGATTCAGACCACCAGCTGGGCTATGGCTTGACCTTGCAAAAGGAGGTCTGTAGGAGGCATCGGAAGCCCACCAAATAGCTATGCGTCGTGGTCGTCCTCAGGCCCCTCTACTGTATCCTCTTAGCAGCCAGGGTTCGATTTCCTGCTGAAGGTTGTTGCAGTCTGATGCTGTAAGTACAGCTATCACCTCAAGGAAGTGAAGAGAGGGAAGGGGTGACATTTGAACTTACCTTGAGTCAGAGTCTGCACTGAGCTGGAAAGGCTAAGCCAGGCCACTGCTTCAGTTACTAAAAGCACCAAAGAGTCAGGGGAAGGAGAAGAAGAGAAAAAAGTGGAGGTCACACGTGAAGAATATATGGAGGAAGATGGAGAAGAGGAAGACATGACAAGGGAGAAACACAGCCCAACATGGAGGCAGAGCACAGACAGAGAGAGAGGAGGTGATTTGAATGGAGAAAAAAAAAACTTTTAAAAGGAAAGGGAAAAAGAAACGCATGCCAGGAAGAGGAGGTGACCAAGGCAGATGAAAAGAACCGAGACGAAGAGACAAGAAAAACACAAAGACGAGCATGAAGGCGACAAAGGAACAATGAGAATGATGAGCGCACTTCTGGAAGATATGAAAAACTTTATCAGGTGAGGTGAAAATGATGCAGTGTGTGTGGGTAGAGGAAATTAATGAAAGATAGAAACTAAAGGAACAAACTACAATTGTGGCTGAATGCAAGGATCCTCTCTTTTAAATTGCACTGCAGTATTAAAAAAACTAAACAAAAAACAGAGCGAGCGCCTCTCTGCTGCACGTTTAATGCACTGTATGAGCACATAAACTTAGTCTGCTGTGGGTGCAAATGCAGAGAACTTGGATCAAAAGACAAAGTAATAAGAATAAACCAGCATTACTTCGGCAAACTCCCTCCGAAAGAAAAGATTACAAACTTCTCTACCAAGGCGGCTGGAAATTGGACTCATTCAGGGTGGGCTAGTTTTTTGGTGGAGATGAAGAATCATGATCATCAGCCGGGGATTTTGGGAAAGAATTTAGAATTTAGTTATGCAGAGATATTCTTTCACATATGAAGAACGCAGCAGGAGATTTTCCGAGTCAGATGCATTCACAACAACAGGAAAATGTCTGGAACATTAAGGTGAGTGGTGGCGCCTGGGTAGAGCTTGCAGGAGGCAGGACATTATGTATAGATTCTGCTGTGGCAAGCACCTTATTTTGTTTACACCAGCACCGCCCTTTATCCCCAAAAGCTTGCAAATCTCATCGTCTTTCCAAATTGATCTTCATCAGCGTTGTCCACGTACATGGCATATTTGTAAAACTTCAGTTTCACACAGCACGTGGTGGCACCCACTGGCTCGCTTTGGACATTTTCCTGGTGTATCCTCACAAATGTCCGTGATCACTGACTTAGATATTGCGCTCTCACAAACAGCCCCATGGGAAAATTTCGAGAAAAAGTCAGTCTTAAGTGCATGTTTGAAAGCAGATTGTAAAGTTAGTGACATAAAGAAAGCTACTTAAGTCCCTGCGATCTTCCTTAACGACTTCATCACTTGAAGAACACAACACCAGCCAAGGCTATTACCCAAACAACACTTCCTGCCATTGTATACATGCATATCCCAATGCATTAGCCTGATATAGACCCAAGAGTGAATGTCAACATAAACATTAAAATGCCATTTATATCAAACTGGAATGTATCAAAGTGCCACATAAAATTGCAAACACTTAACCTTAGAAGGATCAGCTCCTCATTTAAAGAGCAGCTCTCCCCCCTGCTTTGTAACCCTATGTGACCCTAACACACACTGCGGTGAAAGAAAAGGGAATAAGATATGATTTAATACTATAACACTCAAAACTAGCTTACACAAAGTACTGGCAGTACTTCTACTACTATTACCCTCAATTCTTGACACTACCATTCAGGCTAAATACTACCCACCAGGGGTTTCACAGATTACTATCAAATCCAGCCACTTGGACAGCAGCTCCAGGGTCAGCAGCTTGTCCAGCCGAGCCAGATTCTCCACATGGAAGGGCAGCAGGAGCACCAGACTGGCCTTGCCTCCCCACAGCGGCGCCTCCAGGACCTGCACCATGTTTTCTATGTCTTCAAAGTGACGGAACAAACCTGGAGGAGAAGAGTCCTCCCCTGTTAAATGCCTTAGGGAGAAAATACTTAAGACAAGGCTTTATACTAACATCCATTTGCGAAGGCATTTGGAAACGCAGTTGGTCCCATTTTAGCTTGAAAAGAATGCATTTGCTTCATGGTTCTTACAAATGACAACTCAACCACCGCACCGTTCGTCTGAGAAAATAAACAACCAGCTGCAAAGTAGACCTGCATCTAACACTTCATGTGTCAGTACATAAGGGAATTATTAGATACAATTCTCATGTGGACAAAGACAGCTTTAGTTTTCAAACACCGTTTTAACAGGATCACAGACATTATCTCGACCATATATTATAAGATTAAACAAAGCGCAGTGTATCCCCCCAATGTCTTTTACTGCTGTCACGGCAGAAATTCACTCTGCCTTGTTGTTGTTTTAAGACGATGCATAAAATATGAAAGGCATGTTAAATAAATGATAAGGTACACAGTGATAAATAGGAGGAAAGAGGATTGGACCTTACAAATGTTCAAGCCATTTTTCCCTTTCGCTGCATGTAATTGCTGGCAGGAGAGCAGCAGTGAAAGACAATGGGGTTTGATTTTACCTGCTCTGTGCATCATCACCACTTTGGTGTATTTCTTCCCCAAGAAGGTTCGATGGTCTGTGCTCCCCTCGCTGAACTCTCTCTGCCACAGCCCTGAGCAGACAGACAAACAAGCACAGCCGTTCTGAATGCAGGAAGCTCCACGCAGACAGGATGTAAGTAAATGCTAAATGACTGGCAGAGGTGAAAAGGTGGCCACTGGGTTAAATAATACTTCACTCATAAAATACATATAGACCCCACTTGCGGTGACACTGATGTGACGCTCCTCATAAATCTTCGATATGTACCGCCTATTATAAAAATGTCTTCTCTCCCCAAAGCTGCTGAGCTGGAGTGCCACACTGGGGCGGTTATGAGATCCTTAAGACCACGGCGTCCCATTCAGCGCTCACCGCATCCCACTTGGCCCTGCTAACCCCCTGACAGCTGTCAATTTAAGGGTGGGGGCTGGCTGTGAGTAGTGGAATTACTGTTGTAATAACCCCACAACACATCGCCAAAGCGGATGGCCCATTCAACAGAGCAGGGCAAAGTGGATGGAGTGAGAAGGTCGACAGATTATGACTTGCATTTACGGTGTGTTGCTTTTTGTGAATGACACCCGAGGACGGCTAGAGCTATAACTAATGATGACTTTATTGATTCATCATTTTCAAGGGATCACTGCACTCGTGACACAATGCTAAGGTGCAAGAAGGCCAAAAAAAACATCTAATGCCTTATCTGCCCTGATGAAAGTCTGGAGAGCAAGTGCTCGGCTTTATCGTTAAAAACTTACACTGGACACAAAGTGTGCCCACCCTTCTTTTCTCTGAACAATCCACGATTGATTCGTCAATAAAATGTCAGCGAATGATGAAAAGCCCCCATGGCGAGTTCGCAGAGCTCAAGGTGACATCTTCAGATTGTGTTTGGTCACAACAACAGTCTGACACAATACTCCATTTAAAATGATGTAAGATAGGGTAAAGCAGCAAATTGCCTCATTTCACAGTGATTTTGCGATAAATGATTTTAAAAAGGTGCTCTGGATGAAGTATTGCACTTCCAACAAGATGAGGGAACTTGCAAAAGATTAAAAACAAGACCAATACATTGCAGCCATGCTAGCAGCTCTGTGAGGCTAAATGCCATCATCAGCATGCAAAAATGCTGACAATGCCATTGCTAACATGTTCAGGCTTAACAGGTACACGGTTTACCACATTCAACATCTTACTTTAGCGCGTCAGCATGTCTGCTAACAAGCACTAAACCCAGCCGAGGCTGATGGGAATGTCATTAGTTTTGCAGGTGCAAACGTAAAAACCAAAGGACTGGACAAATTGAAATTTGAACCTGGATGATTGTGACGATGAGGAGCTGAGGCCTGATTCGAGTTATCCGGAGGGTGACATCTTTTTCTCCACTAAATGTCATCCTGATACATCGAGTAGTTATCAAGGCACGACACTCAAGAATGAGCAATGTCACATGCTGGCGCTCCAGACTCACCACGCGTGGCCTTCGAGATAAATTCTTGGAGAAACCCTGAGTGTTCACTTAAAATGCTGCTCCAGAACTTGCTGGATGTTTTTTTAATTCTTGTCATGTCACTTAGAAGGAAACGCCAAACTAACAGTGGTCCTGGATGAAAAAATCAGGAAAGCCCCCAAAAGAAATGTAAATCAGCTTAATGTGTTGTGGTGATGAATGTCACTGCCCTGCGAGTGACAGCTTTACAAAATCTGAACGTGAAATCAATAAGTCCTGCTCTCAAACTGAAAGACTACACTCTTGGGAGATAGGGGGAAAAACCCAGAGCAAAACTGCTGTCAAATCCATTTCTGCAGATCAACCGATCTACTTTTCAGCACTAGATTTTCCCAAGAACATCACAGCCTCAAATGGACCCCAGCCAATCAGAAGTCACAGCGAAGTGACATGTGATTCTCCGTCCCAGGCACGCCAGCACGAGTCACAGACTCTGCTTCCTGTCAACATCAGAGCAAGGAGTCTGAAAAACAACTGGCTGAGGGTTAGCTCAAGTGACAGCAGTGTTGTTCGTATGATGTCATGATGATGAGGAATCTCTGTGTAAATACTATGAAGTCGTAATCAAGCGGCAGGGGTTCAATCTATGACCTCACCGGCCCTCTCAGCAGACTTTTTGGGATTTCCGTGTCCAGATGTGTGGGCTCATGTCTCGACCTGGACCTGCTTTGGACTACACTACTCTCCTTTACAGGACCGTGCTGCTGCTGAGAGATCTTTGAAATATGAATCCATTCCTATCCATCGACGATGAACAATGAAACAACCACACAGACATAAGCTGCTTTCAGACACGCACTGAACTCCACAGTTACTCCGTATTTTCTCCAGAGGAGGTGCATGTGTGAACAGAAATGAGACGCAGACTCTCTCTCCTGGCCTCCGTAGAAATCCAGGAGAAGTCGATGTGAGAACAGACGCAAAAATGAAAAAATCTAAGAGGAAAGAAATATCTCCCTGTGAAAAATCGGTGACACAAACATAGAAGACACCGAGGAAGATGTCAAGAGAGTTTGTGGTGATAACAGCCGACACCGGTGCCTGTGTTCTGTCAATCAAATCACGTGATCGCCACAGCGGAGTTAATACGTCGCTTCCTGCCTCCGTCTGCTGCACTCGGCTGCTCCACCTCTCGCCTGAATAATGCAGTGGATTTGATGCTGTTGTGAATGCGTCTGTGCAGAGAACCTCCTGCTGTGTTGTTCATGTGTGACAGGCAGACTGCGGGTAAACTCTGAAGCCAGTTCTCAGGATTTTACCCGCCGCTCATGTCTGAAAACGGCTTTACTGTAAACTTCAAGCGGGAGAATCGACGAGAGCGACCGGCTCCCTCTCCATCAACTGTTCAGGCGTCACATTACAAGTAGTTCCACAAGCTATTATTAGAGGTTAAATGTAAAGGGACTTGTTGTTCTCTCTTTCCTTTTGTTATTCTCCTCATTCTCCATGTTTTTGGTGTTGTCTCGTGTATAAGTTTTCTCTCTGTACGTTCAGAAACGTATTTTTCTTCTTCCGTCTCCAGTGTTTGTTTGTCTAAAACAGGAACAAAGCCTGAATTAATTAACTAGTGTGGACTGGAACTCCCAAGGTAGGCCTTTTACAACGCTCCGCTATGTCTGTCAATCTCTTTCACTGTCTCAGCAGGCCTCCTTCTCTTTCTTTACTTCCCTCAGTTGTCGTTGTTTACTTTTCTCCCATCTCTTTTGCTCTGCCTCTCTTTGTCCCCTGCCCACCCAGAAATGTCCCCTTACGCTGTTCCGTCTCCGCAGCCCTCTTTGCTTTTACCATCGCTCAACTATAAACATGTTCCACTACTAATTGCCCCTGACCTTCCTTTTCTTTGGATGCTGTGTTGAGCCCAGGGAAGGAGGGACAGAAAAGAGCTTTTTAAATCCCCCCCCTTGAATAATCAACTAAAGGGAACGAAAATGAAACAAACAGGCGAGGAAGGAAGCGTCTCTGAAACCATTACACTATCACACACGATGTGAAGCGCCTAAGGACCCTGAAATCAAAGACAAATAAAATAAAAATTGCAAAGAACCAGAGGCGGCTAGTAGGAGCAAGAAGCAAACTATCGACCACTTTTAAATTATAAATCAAAACTAAAGGAATCCAATTTAACGTAATCTCATTTGTGCGCTGTAATCTGCTGTATAATCTAATTTGTATATTTCCTCTACAAAAATGCACCAACCAACGAGGGTTGGATCACAGGAAAACTAATTTTGTAATGAAGTGAGAACATGAAACAAAGAAAATTAATTAAATTGCTTATCGATGTATATAGTCTGTCAGGGAATGTTTTTTGCGGAGTTCTGTCTGTCGGCAACCTGTTTTCACTTCAGCAGCCTTCTTCGCACCTAATAAAAAAAAATACCTGCAGGAGGAAACAGAAGGAAAGGAGGCAGATGGACACAGATAAGGATGTGAACAGGAGACATGTGGGAAGAAGAGAGACAGGGTAGATTAGACGTGCGATAAACGATGACAAAAGCACAAAAACAGAGACAAATGGCACAAAAAAGACCAAGTGAAACAGAGGGACATGTTTAACACATCCTCGTCTTTTTAGACGACTGCAAACAAAAATGTGATTCTTTGTCAGCGGCCACAGAATCGCCTGCCGTGCTACTACAGAGAGATATGAGCGATTACATTCCGGAAATTACATTGCACTGCATTCATGAAAATGAAAAATAAGCTATTTGCTATTTCAGTGGCTCATTATTAACTAAAACCTAATTGTGAAACTACTGACAATATTTAACAGTCTGATAAAAGTGAAATGAATCCAGATCTATCCTTTTAAAGAGTGATTAGATGGAAGTGTTCTAGGATGCAACTGTTAAATCGCAGATGGAGCTTCGAAGGCGTATCGAAACATTGACCGGTTTTCACCCCTGCAGCCCGTCACAAAGAACAGATCCGAGCCAAGCTGTGCCGCCGCAGAGTTGGAGCGCTCCACGCACAGATGTTGGGCATGACACTGAGGGAGAGAGTCTGGACACTTGTTACTCAATTATTTAAGAAGACACATCACCCCCAAATGGAAGATGAATAAGCTCTCAGTGATGGACCCCAGAATCATCCTTTATCTGCTGTGTCCACCAGCTGGAGTCCACTGCATGCATGCTCACAGGAACACACGCACATGCACTCTGCACACAGGTGGGCACGCTGGCACACACAGTGTAGTGGGCAAACTGGCGCACAGGCTCTCTGTGCAGCGCCAACAGTGAAAATGGAACACGTGCACGGCATATTAATATTTTAAGACTTCTCATCCAAAGCAGCATGCATCTAGAGTACAGAGACATTGCATAATTTCAAATGGCTGTACAAATACAGAGCCCACCAGTCTTTAGCTCTACTCAGTCCAGCCAAGCTGCTGCTTCGTGTGTCTACATCCAACCTGGTACGACGCTGCATGTGTTCTTAATTATAATCATTTCCCATCACCTAAACAGTCAGTCATATTTCCACCATCACTAACTACAAACCAAAACAAGTCTACCACTCGTGTATCTAGTGTGCACTATTTATACTCACCTTTAAAGTGCACGGCATTAGCCAGTATCAAGGCTCCAGCCTTGACCTTGATTTCTGCCTCCAAAGGAGCTGCTTCTAGCCCCCCAAGCCCATCTTTAGCCCAGTCATGGAGCCGCTTCAGGTCAGCCTTGGAGTCTCCTTTCCCCAGTGGCTGATGCTGAAGCCCGAACTTGGCCTGGCTGTCCTTCACGAAGGCCTGACTGACCGCAGGGGCTTGCTTGGAAAACACAGCTGAGGACGTGTGCAGGTGAAAAGCGGTCACGTTTGCTTTGGCAAAGCTCTTTAACGCCCCGGACAGAAGCTCTCCTGCCTGAGAGCTGGCCTTGGAGGGGGCGGGGGTCTTGAGGAGGTCTCCGAGCTGGTTGGCAGTGGTGCCCGCAGCACCTCCACCCAGCGCTTTAAGTGAGGAGGCCAGGAGCAGAGGTGAAAACAGGGTGTTTACTGAGCTGGGGTCGGAGCGTAGGGCCTGGTACAGGCGCAGACCCAGAGCCCAGCTGGGGTCCCCCAGAGGAGGAGGCGGGCGGGGTGGAGGACTGGCTGGGGCAGCAGAGCTCTTCCCAGGTGAACTGGTGGTGCTGCCCTGCACCAGGAAAACTGGCAAAGAAATGAGGAAAAAGACAGGAAGTCTCGGCAGCATGGCAGATCTGGGGGAACACACAGGAAGGGAAGTATGAAGACAATCTGGCAATATTTTGGTTCTACTGGTGTAGACAGGGAGCGAGACTCAGTCTTCCATTCACCTTACACCTTCTACAGCCGGACTAGATTCTTCTATCACACAAAACACAAACAGTGATGCTTTTTGTGGGGGTTTTGGGTCCAGACAAACTTTTGGCTAATCTCTATTAACAGCTGTCCCCCTATGAATGCAGATAAATAAAAAGAAAACAATCGCTGATGTATTTCGGACTTTATGTTTGGCCTCTTATGCTGTGCAAGAATAATAATAAGAGTAAACTTTATTTACATTATTATTCCTCGAAAGCACAAGACACCAAGGGGGTAACTGTTAGTGTTTACTAATAGGGTTTCTTTCAAACGTCCTATATTTTACCTACTATCTGAGAGCAGAAGAAAAATCCAAGGAGCACGAGCTGAAGCGCAGGAAATAAGCACAGGCAAGGTATATTTGAGTTCGAGCGCAAGGTTTTGAGTGAAAACGTGACAAAATCTGATCGTGAATCATGAGTCCTGCTCTCCAAATAGAGGAAAAAAATTGTTTATCTGCAGGAATCCAAACCCTGCTCAAAAGTAAGACGGCTTTCAGGTCCAACTAATCACACATTATATATTCTCATGCAGAATCTTCTTACAGAGATTAGTATGAAGATAAACAGCCAGGAAGGATTTTCATTGATTGGAGACATTCTGACAGATGTTTTCCAGTGTGCTAACCATGCATGTTGTTCCTGCAGTGTTCATGTCAGACCCCTGCTCCTGCAAACTTCTCCTCACCACTAAAGTTCACTTGTAAATTCCTCCCTGCATGATAACCCGGTTATATCCTCACCCACAGTGACGCTTCACTTTGGTGAAGTTTCAGAAAAGATCAGGTTTCTTTCTTCTTCTTTTTTTTTAAATCCAGGACTAAACGAGAGGATGAGGAAGAGAAAATATAAAACCGAACGACTCATTGATTTTGTCGAGGCGGTGGCAGCGGTGACTGGAAACATCTGTCGCCCGACACGGAGACGGTTTCCTCGACGGAGAGAGAGGAAAGCGAAGGATGAAGAAGAAGAAGGTGGTTTGTTAATTTTTTTTTTTTTTTACCGTGAATGAATTCAAACGTGTGTGCCTCGGCTGCTGTGTGTCCGCCGCTGCAGGCTGCGGGCTCCGGAGGAAGTGAGGGCCGGGGGGCTGGAGCTCCGACGTGGCAGCGCACGGAGGAGGAAGTTTACCCACAAAGCTGCACGCACCACCGGGCAGCTCTCTGGCTCTGCCCCCCGGAACTTCTCCTGCAGGAATCCGCTCCAAGGCGCAGGCTTAAGCCACAGTGAGAATATGATCCATAACAGGAGCTCAAATACATTTGACTAATCTCACATCAAATGTCCTTTTATCAGCAGAACAAAGCAGATCAGTTAAAAACAACTAAATGTGTGGTGGGGTTATATATTTATTTATTAATTTATATATATTAAGCAGATCTATACTTCTCTCAAACTGTTGTAAAGTAAATGAAGTGATTTACTTCTCATTGAAAATAAAGCTCTGGATAATAACCCCCCCTTGTCCATGGATCAGTATGGGGCTGCAGTTCCCCAAACCATTCAAGGGGGGTCGCTAATGTTCTTCTCTTCGCCCCAGCTCAGTGAGCAGCACGTGGTCCTCCTAAACTTTGACACCGAGGAAGAGGATGAAGTGCACAGAGCCAGCACTGTGATTGGTTTAGTTAAGCAGCATCCATCTTTATGTATTTATTTTCAAATAATTATTATGATTTTAGTCTTCAAACTGATCATTTTTTCTGAATGGGCTGTTTAATTCTATGGTGATGAGAATTATAAAAGATTTACTGTCACTTTGTATTGTTTGTGTGCTGAACATTGTGTCTATGGTGCAGAGTGAAGTTAGAAAACTTTCATCCTACCTAGTTTATAAGCGATGAGGATTTGCTAGTCAGTGTTTTATCGTGAAATCAAAATCAATTGCTCTATTACTGTTCACGTGTGCGGTTTATAGAGTTTGAATGATTTATTGCAGCAACAAAGCAAACGCTGTGCTTTTACTTTAAAGACAAATTGCACAGTAATTATTTGAAAGCTGTTGCCAAGATGGACATCAGCAACTGTGACTCCTGTGAATGTCTGTAGGTCCGATATTGTGAAATAAAATTAATCAAAATAATCTGGCTGTGATTTTGACCAGCTGACGTATTCTATGTAGAAGAAGACATTTTCAACTCAGTCTTGGGACTGACCGTTAGAACGCTGCCCCTCCACACTGACTGCTACAGAGCACTAGTCGCCTGTTTATACAATTTCTGTTAATATTGGACATGTGCTCTTCATACAAACAGACAGACAGACAGATCTTTGAGGAATTAGTAGGTAAATGATTCTTAAAGTTGTGGTTACTTGACATTAAAGTTGCAGGGGACAACCCCACACACTCCCTGTCCAAGGTAACACCAACCTCACCTCACAATGCAGCAGTAGCAATATTATAGTCCACTGTCAAGGAAAATTAGGACAGACTATGCAAGCCTGTATTACGTCTGACCCCTTCAAATGTCCTCATTCTGTATTCTCCTCATTTTCCTATGGGTTTTTTTTCACTTCCCTAAATTGTCCCTTCCCTCTCCCTGCAGCAGAACAAGGAGCTGAGAGCAGATAACTTGTAACACATGGGGCTCTGCAGGGCCTGGGATTATTGCCCATATTGAAGGATGGAGAATAGTCATATAGGGTCCTAATCAATAAATGTAGAGATAGTCTAAGGAGGCTAGAGCTGGATCAGAGAGGGATATGGAGGAAGATAACTGCTCGAGACCACCAATGCTCAGCAATCAGGCCGAACATGACAGCTTGTAGACCCAACCAATTATTTACCCCAGCCAAATCAATAGAGCGCTCTCCGAAAGATAGCCATCAACAGCACTATCTGCAACACATTCACAGCAGAAAGCACAAACACACAGTGCACACGCTGCCACTCTCGCTCTCTGTCTCTTTTGCAAACGCACACACCCACACACACACATTTACCTAGCAGGCACTTAGTTATCAGGCTCCTGTGGAAACAAGATACACATCATCTAATTACTGGACGCTGAAAAGAGAAGTATGAACAACAGGATGTGTCGAACGACGTCGACAGCGAACATTAAATCACATCACAGGGGCATGCAAAAAAAAAAACTAAACATGCACATACATACTCGGACACACAACAGCACACTTTCGTTAAAGGCCGCACAGACAAGCTGAGGGCACATTTCGGTGGTGATGAGTCGACATGTGCGACATCAGAGGGCGTGACCTGCACCAGAGGAGTCGTCGGCCCCTTCCTGGGACCCCAACGCTCCACATCAATGTCAGTCTTGTCTGTAATGAGCAGCGTCACACATTACAATGTGGGTGATCTGTAAAAAGATGGGCTCACGCTGCGGTTAAACGAGCCCCTGGGGAACTGGTCGGGAACCTGAGAAGACGCTCACTCAGTGGATTGTGTGTCTGGGGATTTGTAAAAGGATGCACTTTGCCCACCGCGAACCCCGCCCCCTGCCCCCGGACCCCCTGCACCCTGCTTCACTTGCCCTCACCTCATTGCACCTCGTCCGAGTCTCCAGCACAGATTCAGTAATGCAGCTCCAGATGTTATTGTCTTAGGCAGTAACTGCTGTATTTCACCTCACACGTTATCTCTTTATGTGGCTATTAGCCGCTGTTCTTGGCTCTTATCGAGGTAAAAAAAACAAAACAAGCGTGGCTCAAGGGCTCGGTGAACGAATCAACACCTTGCAACAAAAGCTGTTCTGACCATTGCCAACTGGCCTCGGGCTACATCCACTCGCCCCATACCCCACTCTTGCTCTCAATTTCTCTCTGTTTCGCTTCAACCCACATTCACTGGCTCAGACATTATACTGTTTATACTTTATTCTATCCCTCTCTTCCCCTTTTGCCTTTTTTCAGCCAGAATGAGATATTTCACTTCATACTACATTAGCCCAGCTTCCTTAGACTCCAATTCACTTCTTGACTTCATTTTCTTTTCCTGTTCCTCTCCTTTTGCATCCATCCCACCATGACACTGCGCCTGAGGTTTCAGCAGTTTCCTCTACACTCCTCCTACCTCTAGGGGATCCTTACACATACACATCCCATATATATTTAGTCGTATATATATATATCCTGCTCTTTTCTTTTGTGAAAAAGAGGTAATACTTCTACGAAGTCCTTTAACAGAAAATGTACCTTTAAAAAAACTTGAACTATACTCATGAATATGTGAAGATGTCCTCCCACCTCCACCTTCGACGCAACATCTCTCACCTCCTCTCACTCACTGCCAAACAATTTCCTTTCCACTTCTCACCTCCTCTCATTCCTTCACCCCAACTCCTACTCATTTCCCATCTCTCCTCTGATTTTCCTCCCTCTTCTAATACCGTTTAAATCTCACCCCATCCCTCTGCGTCTCACAGATTTTTGGAGTCCGTACAGAACAAACAGCGTGTAACATTTGAGCTCCCGTTCTTGTCAGTTTTGGCCTGCGTGTCTGTCGTCAGCTCTGGCCCGATTAAACCAGCAGAGAGCTCGTTTAGACCCCCGTCTGGACAGGTCCTCTGGGTGCTGCTGGTTTTTATCAAGTTCCACTGTGGTCCTTTTCAAATTAAAGCTCTTACTTAACGTCTGGCAAAGCTTTTAAACCAAGCATTACCTCTACCCTGACTTCATTCTGGCTGCAAAACATTGACCATAAGGGAAATACATATTTGTCTGACAGGTTTATTTAAAGGTCACCCACACCTTGACCTTTAAAATACAATTTTAATCTCAAGGTCAATCAAAATCAACAGATTATCAGGAGAAGAAAAAGAGGAGCGATAAAGGAAACCAAATGGAAACAAAAGTAAAAGATATAAAACATGAATCTTGATCAGAGCAGAATAACTAAAAGGGATGTTTACATCATCTTTGCTGAAGATCTAAAAATACACATTTTGGATGGGATTTGGGGAGTGGGGGATGAGTGTCCTCCAACTGGGATGTTTTTTTCCCCCACTTTGAATCTAGGGCAAAACTCTGTGCGGCAACAGGAGGTATATGGGCGGACAGATTGAAAAGAAGGGAATATGTGTGTTCAATCAATGGAGGGAAAAGAGAGGGGGCAGCGGGGGAAAGGTGAGGAGGGGCACTGGCGGCCGGTGTCGGGCGTGAACACGTTGAGCGGTGCCAAAATCACAGACACATCTGCTGCTCGCCCCGAATGTTTCCAGTAAGCTTTAAATGTTTCCTGCAGCCCTGTGAAAGTGTACAGAACTGCCACGGGGGTGGGGGTTGAAGAAATAGGTGGTCTCACCCTTTTTTTCCCCCATTAGACATTTCTATAAATATAAATATATAAACTTCAGTGAAAAGCACAGGAGTACGAAAGCGAAGGAACGCTTCTCTACGCGGCAAGAAATGCAAATAAGCGGCTTTTAATGTGTTCAGTGAGTCAGACAAAAAAAAACAAATGCCAAGCGCCCGCAGAGTACACAGCTGCTTCAAGCAAGTGTTGACAACTATCTTTATGGGAATTAAACATTGCTCTCCAACCGCACCCCGCGTAACCGCCACACACCTGTGATCAGATCACTCAGACTCCATGACATTAAATCAACGTGTCCGCCTTTTGACGCATCCCACTGAAACCACACAAACTCCTATATAATGTGCCTCAACATGCAGCCACACACACACACACACACACACACGATGAAATATGGACACACACCTTCAAAAGAGGGATACGGTAACACACACATACACACACACTTACACAGAGCTTAAACAGTATCCTCTGGCTGTGGGTTTGCCAGCAGCCAGCTGGTACTGTCATGTCTGATAGGCTGGAACAGAGACAGAGACGGAGACGAGGCCGAAAGAGGGGTGAGGGAAGGAGGGAGGCAAGCTGGTAAAGTGTCTACAGCAGAATGCATTAGTAAGACCCCTGTCAGTCTGTTGAGCGGTTGGGGAAACTGTATCAAACCCTGGCAACTCATTAGACTATATCTCATGTGGGTCCATGGGGAGTTTTCCGCCATCTCTCATCCCAACCCACTAAACTACAGGACGTCTTTGTTTTTCTGGAGCTCTTTCTGACCTCGGTTTTCAACTACTGTCTCATAATTAAGTAAACTAAACATGATCTTTGTAGGGACGAATATTCCTTTGACACTTTGCTTTGGTAAGAGATACTTTAAGAGATAATTGTGTGTAAAAATGCTTTTAATAAAAGAGCAAAAGCACAAAAAATGTCCTTAAGGTGTAGACAAACCACTTAGCGAAGTGATTTCTGGCTTTCAAATATAAAATCACACTTTATTTATTTATATTTTTTTTAAATACTAAAAACAGCTTCAAACGAAGCAGCATTTATATATCAGTGTTTTGCACGTCTCTATTTGCCTCCACACCATCCAATATTTGCTTGGTTATATGAAGAGTCATTGTTTGTGAGAATTAATGGCCACATAGAGAGAAGCTGATGAAGGTCGGCAGTTTGTTAATGAAAAGCCAAGTGCCTGATAAAGACAAATGGGCTTTGAAATTCAGCATCTAGTATAATTCTCCATTTTCAAACAGTTATGTCAAATTACAATGGGACAAACTTACGGTTATCAGTCTGTATAGTGTCTTCATAGATGTGTACAAGTTAATACTGTTACACCAAACCAAATTCGCTTCCGTACAGAAAGTCCTCGGACATCATTAAGTCATAGAAATAATGAGGAAATAAAAGGACGTTTAATAGAGTGCACACCTCCGTTAAGGCCCCACGGCCCCTTTATGAAACTCTTTTGGATCTGCACCAAATTGTACACTCCTAGATTTTTTTTCATCAAGATCAATGAATGATTTCCTGGGAAAACAACCATAAAACACATTACCAGGAATAGTTGA